CGGCCTCTGAGCAGGGAGGGATCTTTATCGTGCCACACCTGCTGTGAAACGGGGCCTCCGTTTATACGGTCTCATCCGAAGGACCGCCCCATTTATTCGCCTTTTACGACAAGCAAGGGGGTACTGAGGACCTATTCTAACCCGGATTCCCACGGGGCTGCACATAAATAAAGCCATCTTAAAAATGTTTGGTCTCCCAACTGACAGGCAAAAAATGGCCTTATTTAATTTTTTTTACATTCATTTTTTTCTTTTTTTTTCTTTATATTCACAATCCCATCAACAAATATGTTGATATTTTCTATTAAAAAAAAAAAATCCCCTATTAACCTATCGACCCAATAATTTTACCCTGGATCACCCTAAGGCAAACAAAGCATTATTTCAAAGATGCCCTTATTAATATTCTTGATTTTTGTGTGTGTTTCCAAATTCAGTATTGCAATGATGCTAATTATTTACATTATTTTATTGTAGTTTGTAAACATTATGCTTGAACATTATCTTTGTGGTACATGTACTTTGATTAAGATTTTGCTTCTAGTTAGTTCTTAACTATGGAGGGTAATCGTGTTCAAAATTCTAGACTTGTAAATTTGTAAATGCTATCTTGTAAGTTTGTAAATCCAAACTTGTAATCGTATCAGTTTCATAGTATACATATGTAAGTAGGTAATTCAGACATCCAAGCATGTATAGTTCTGAAAACACAACTTTGTTGACTTTAAGTTCAAATTATGAATGTGTGTATCTTTGATGTTGTAAACTTTGTTTTCCGGAATTTATATTTCCGCGCTCTGAATAAAACACAAAGACAATTCACAACTCTACAAATGTAAAGTCTACATGTTTGTCGAATTTTGATTACGAAAAACTATGGAGGGCCATCAGTGCCACAATTCCTTTTTAATATATTTTTTAAAATTTTTATTATTACTTCTTGTTTTTCAAATTAAATACATGTAAATTCAAACGACTTCATTTTCTATTTCTTAATTTAGTTCTAACTTCTTGTTTATATTTTCCAGTTTTATTTTATTTCCTTTATAGCCGTAGGGGCCGGAGGGGGAGGGCGATTTTTCCGATATACATATATATAGGAATAAGAATACTATAGAAATTGTAGCTATTTTATGCGTGTGCCCCCTCAATTTAAAGATCTTAATTATATTTGCAATAATATCATATTTAAAAAACATTCAGTAGATGCAGTTAGGTATCAATATTCCTCAGGGGAAAAGGGGGGGGGGGTTCCCAAAAAAGAAATGACAAACAAATATTAATTAAATAAACTGGTACATGTAAAACTTCCTCTGTAAAAACAATGATTGGATGAATGGGATCTTTCATTTTAACTTTTCAGAAACTTTTTTTCAACGCAAGAAGTAGCAAGAGTTTCGTGAATATGCAAGAAAAAGTGTGTTTGGGAGGGGGAATGCAGCCAATAGATATATTTTCATATCGAAACATCTGCTCATGATTATTTTCTACACAAAAAGTGGAGTACCCAACATTTTGACCCCTATTTTACTTCGGTCCTAAGACTTGTTGAAGTGAAAAAAAATTTTCTCAGCCCTTATTTAAAATTGTTATATCAATATCAACTGAAATATACCTTATATTTATTGCGTGGACCCTGAGGTCCACGCAGTAAAGATATAAGCGAGGTTAAACCAGATGCCATGGGCAAATGTCAGGCTACGCATGCGCGAGAATACTAGTTCGCCAAGACAACTTGCCCTTAGAATTATTCGCCCTATTTGAATTAGAATATGTCATTCATCGGCAAATCTCGCTTTTAAATCTGCTTATCATATTTATATATTCATTGGCGGATCCGAATTTCTCTCTTATACATATGCTTTTAAAAACAAACTTAACATTGATTCTATGGCAAAATTATTTTAAAAAGTAAAAAAAAAACTTGCAATATAAAGATAAATTAACAACTTGAATTAAAAACTTCATTTAACGGCTAGTTTTAGCATTAAAAAACAACGTCTTCATCTTCATTAGATTTGTGCTTCAAGGTTTGCAAAATAATTTGATATACAGCGACCCAAATACAGCTTGATAGAGGCCGGGGTCCGAAAAAAAATTGAGTAGAGAGCTGTGCTACACGTTTACCATCAGATCTTTTTTTCCAATGATAAATCTCTTCTGCATAAAATCCAGAACAGATGTCAAGTCCCAGCCGTTATGGGTTACATGTATCAAAATAGCTCGATTTATTTTTAAAATGACAAAACTAAAGGCTAATCGGAGATAGATTTTTTTTTACACTTTTGCTATGAAAGTACCATCAGTCAAAGAAGGCAGATCATTGTAGAAGAATTTTACTCATATGGAGACGCCGCCATTTGCCAGTGGAGAGCTGCAAATTTTTTCCTATTCTCGGCACTTAGGGCCATACAGCAGCGAGGGATCTTTTTCGTGCCGCTTCCCAAACTTGGTTTACTACAGGAATTATAATTCCTAATAGAGAGACTGATTTAAAAGTGAGCTTATCTAAGTTTTATACTCCCGGGCCGGACGAGGGGGCAGTGTGTTCTATTCCAATTACATGTAAATGAAAGTAATTTCCAGTTGTGCCCAATTGTCAATATATTCATAAGAAAAGAAATCAAGGCTAGTAATGCCTTTGGGGGTCTCGAAATTTTTGTTTTGTGCCCACCCCCAACCCCCATGAAAATTGCTTCCAACGGGCCTGAAAAGAAGAGAAAACACTCAAGACTGAAATCATATATATGGTTTTTAAAATAATAAAACAAAATTCATGTTCCAGGGAAATATATCTACATAGTACGTGTCGTAGACTGTTTGCGCAAGGTCTCTGTGAACATGTAAAAAAAAAGGCCGAAAAAGTGAAACATAATTTAAAATATCTGATAAAATGAGAAAACGAAAGGAAGCCAAAAAAAAATAATAATAAATAAATAAATAAAAATAAAGAGTAGGTCCGTAGGAAGCAAGTTGGAGAGGGGGCAGAGCCATACATTTTCAGCTGGGGGACACTCTATATCAACTACGCCCCCTCCCATTTAAAAGAAGTCATCAGACTTTTTTATTGACGTGACACAAGCAGATATTAGCTTTGTGTTCTATAGCATTCTTTATATCGGCAAAATTACTGGGGCACGGCACATTGCCCCTCCTCGGACCCTGGAAAATGTAAACAAGAAGTTAGAACTAAAATAAGAAATATAAAATGAAGTCGTTGAAATTTATTTAATTTGGGAAAAAAAATTATAATAATAATATCTAAAAAATGAAACAAGTATATTGAAAAGCAATTATGGCACCGACACCCTCCATAGTTTCTTGCAATCAAAATTCGACAAACATGTTGACTTTACTTTTGTAGAGTTGTGAATTGTCTTTGTGTTTTATTCAGAGCGCGGAAATATAAATTCCGGAAAACAAAGTTTACAACATCAAAATACATGTACACACATTCATAAGAATGTGGGCGCTTTAGATGGAAAATTTGCAGGAACCACAGACAGGAAACATTATTGGTTGAATTGTCTATGAGCCCTTCGACTTCTGAAAACGTACAGACTAAAACAAAAGTTGTTCCGTGTTTCGTATAAATAATATTTACAATGACCCTCGAGTACAATTTAAAACTGCTTAATAATGGTACATTTTATCATTATTTTCTTTATCAAAAGGGACACTAAAGGACAAATTTAATATAAGTAATTAAATACTAGAAACTGTCTTTAAGTAATTAAATACTCGGTCATATAAATATCGATGTAAAAGAATGTATTCGTGAGGTATTGCAATATATTTAATATTTTCATTTATGATAATGATTCACACAAATGTGAATAAAGTCAATCAATCTTTACTACTCAGATTCCTCATCAGAATCAGTTTCTAGAACAAGATTCGCTGCATCACAGAGTGAGGGTGTGTAAACATCTGGTGTTGCCTTATAGTTGTTATGTCTGGCAAATGCAAGATACCAGATAACTGAGGAAATGTGGGCACAACAAACAACTGTTCTAGAGCCTCCCTTGCATTCACAGTACCAGCCTGTGACATGGTCCCGGGAATATTCTACCCATATATTATAGAGCCTTTTCGAAGTGTGTCTGGACTGTATTCGTGCATGTAATAGATCTGGTTCTACACAGGAAAGATCAATTTTGTAGTCCCCTTCTTCAAGGTGCTCATCTGAGTATTTCCTAGCCTGTTTGAGTTGATACACTCCGAATGTCAACATACGAAGTTGTTCCTCAGTTAAGGACGGGAAATGTGGTAGAGCATTTTTAGCCTCAATGCTTATCCAGTTTTTGGATTTTTCTCGGAACTTAAGCTTTGGGTTTTTCCGAATCCGCTCCTGGACTGCATTTGGCATGGCAGCGGATCTCATTTGTCGAGCAATATCATCATCCTCTGGATTATTTGTTTTTAAAGGAGGCCTGTATTTGTTGATAATTGCACATATAATGCGAATGTAATCTTTAATGTGGGGTATTTGGCTGTTGCAAACTACATTGTCTAAAAACCTCCATTTTTTAATACGGCCGTTTGCAGCCTCAACAACCCAACGCACTTTGGTGACGAAACGGGACATATTTGCTTCACTGGTGCTATGCTGTTTCAGAGATTTTTCAAGAAATGCAGGCATGTGTGTCTTGAAGCCCAACTCATTCAAAAAGGAAATTGCATCTCTGAAGCCGCGATCCACTATTAGAACATCATCTTCTCTAAGGAAATTCATTATACTATTGGAATTTGATGTTGCTATGTGTTTAATGATTGATGCATCATTGTTTTTACCGTTTGAAAGATATGGGCCCATAACGTCAACTATGTAGCCGTCGGTGGAGGTTATGACAAACGGTTTTACTAGGGGTCTGTTTTTGTGCAAAGAATATGTGAGTCTTTGAAACCGATATGCTGAACTTTTTTGTATGAACACATAAGTCCCATCCATAACAAGGATAACTGTTTCGGATAGTGGGTCACTAAATAATTGTTTCGCGATGTCGGTGGTGTGGTCATCCACTATAGATTGGCGTGATATATGTTTAAAGCCTAAGTTAGAAGGAACAAAGTCCGTTACGAGTGCTCTTCGAGTTTGCTGAATTATTCGAGCTACTTTTCGACGACTGCTAAACCCACAGAGTGTTGCAATTACGGCATTGGAAAGGCCACATTTCATTTTAAAGAGGAAAATGCCGATTGCGTTTCTAATTGATCTTTCCCTAGAATTACGCATAGAAGTGACATGAAGATAAAGATCATTGAATTGATCTCTTGATATCCCTAACAGTGATCTGTAATCTTCATCTGACAGTGTATGGTCATCAAAAGACAATCGACGACTCTGAGAAGAAGATGCAACTTTCCTTAGATCATCGATCAATTTCACAATTTCACCAGAATTCAAAACAGTAGATCTTTTTCTAAACATTGACTTGTGGATGCATGTTGAGGATTTTATGTGATTGCTTGTTAAATGCAGAGGACAGCATCGAGCGCCAAGTGGAACAAGAATACCAAAGTTAATAAATATGTCCATTCTTGCCTCTCTCGGCATACATTTTAATAAACCTTTCTTCCTGCAAATTATACAGCTTTTATTGCACTTCCCCCCAGAAACTAAGGGCAAGTCAATACTGGTAACTGTGCTGCTCACTTTTGGGCTATCCTGTACATGTAAACGTGCTCGTGATAAATTCTGCTTCAGCGATATCCTGCAGTTGTCGCATATTGTACTTACATCTGAGGTAACAATACCTCTTGCATGAAGAACTTTGGCAACGTTAACACTGACTTTCCGTTTTCTTTTGCTTTTTAGTTGTTTTTTACAAACGCAACACCCGTACTTCTCGGGTGACACCATGTTTATGTTCACATGTCAACGCGTTATATAATGTAAATAGTTCTATTTTTTTCTTAAAAAAAAAAAAAAAAAAAAAAAACCATATGAAATCTAATTAGAATTTTTATATGTCTTAATCAAATGTATTTAATATTAAAACGTAGAAAAAAAAATTTAATCTGCTCATATTCGAACCAAAAACTTTTCATACATAAGTTACGCGTCCAGAGGCAAACCAGTGTAGCTATCCGAGACACAGTATATCTCCGTTTGTAATCATCATTTAAAGCGACAGTCCTATACGCTTGAACTTAGTCTATTTTCAAGTTGAAAAATATTTTGAAAAAGTGTATTTTTTGTTATCTCTGGGTCGTCTCTCCATTTTTTCAAAACATGTACTAAATTATACGATGAAAAATACATTCATAACGCATTTCAAATTTGTGGAGAGAAGACCCAGACACAACAAAAATATTAAAAAATGGCTCTAAAAAGGCTGGTTTTTGGACCAAAACAGCCGTATGACCATATTCATATGCTTATTCTTATAAAACCAAGTAAATATCAGGATATATTTGCCTGTTTTACATGTACTTAGAACATAACCAATGTCTAGATTTGGAAAAAAAATTATTATTCAAAAATATTTTTTCTCTCTCCCTATGTTATCCGATTCCTGCCGAATCGCTATCTTAAGCGCCCACTTTCTTTGAACTTAAAGTCAACACAGTTGTATTTTCAGAATTACATGCTTGGATGTGAATTACCTTTTTACATATGAATACTATAAAACTGATAGATTACAAGTTTGGATTTACAAACTTGCAATTAAGATTGCATTTACAAACTTACAAGTCTGGTTTTTTTAACACAATTACCCTCCATACTTAACATAACCCCGGAGCCAAGTAAGGTCACACAAGCTCTTTAATTTTACAGGGAGGTTTTAAACTAGGCCGCATTATAGGATTTTCGAATTTTTTAACAACACATCCTTTTATCTAACAAACAAGCTCTTTTATAAACAGATAAAAACACCTGCAAATATAGCAAACAATGTTTTAAATTAATAGTTTCCTATTACAATCAGTAAAATTCATCAATTAAAACAGCATAGAAATTTTAATTATCAAAATCTCTAAACCATAGATAAACAGCGTTATTTAGTTTGTCTGATTTTTGTTTAACATTTCTTTTGAGAATTTTTCACTCATGTGGAGACGTCATTACAAGTCTTGCAAGTAAAGATCTACAAACTTTCGACCTATAATCGGCACTCATGCCCATTGAGCATTGAGGGATTATTTTCCTGCCAACTTCTTTTGTTTTATGAAAGTTACTAGTACTTCCGGTTTGTAATGTCCGTGAACCCATTTCCCAGGACTCATTAAAATATCAAGAAGTCGTATATCTTAATTATAAAAATAGAACCCTCTTTCCATGAAAAAAAGGTTTTAGAGTTTGAGATACTTCAAACTTTTAAAAACTAATCAAATAACCACCAGTTTCAATTTGCAGACACATTTCTTAATGGCTATCAGAAAAAAAACCCACTGATTTATTGATCTTTTTGAAAAAAAAAAAATGGTTTTTTTTATTAAAATTGAAAAAAATGCTGTTGGATAAATATATTTTTTAGAGTTTTGATCTATTAAAAGGCTAATTATAAATAATTTAATAATTTTAGTTGTTACACGTCATTTGATTGGTGAAACGATTTTATCCATTTTGTATTACATAACTTGCCTACGTCACAATGAGTTACGTCAAAACGTATTACTCCGCTTGACTTTTAACTTTTAAAAAATGCGTTATTTCAAGCCCTTTTCCGGAGGAAAAATATGGAAAATTTGTCTAATTGTCTACATTGAAATTAAATTATAAGGAATGAAGCTTATTTCAACTTATGTTATACCATATAAGATAAGTTGGGGCAGTTATCGCTTTTTTATAAACCGCTTCGCGTAAACTCTCCCAAGTTATGTTATATCGTATAACATAAGTTAAAATGAGCTTAATTCCTTAAATAATTAAATTCTACTGCAATAATTTTTGTTGCAATTTGTTTTAGCTATAGGTTTTAGTGTTTTAGAGCTAAATTGATTGGACTCATAGTATGTATAGACTACCTCTAATAGAAAATTGATTACAACCCTGAAAGTGCTAAAAATTATAATATTGGAAAAAAATATCTTAAATATGAAGAAACATTATCTTATTATTATTTCAATACTTGTATATGTTAAAAAAAACTACATGCTGTTTTTATTGTATCTTAGAACTGAAGAAATGCAAAGCTTTTGGATTACCTATGAATAATGCAGTAAAAACAGCTCAGGATATGGATTCACTTCTACGAGTCAAGATACTTTCTGTAATTTTCCATTTTCTTTTCGTAAGTTGTCATTTTCAAAAACTAGTTGATAACAATTTGTCTTTCTTATTTAATGGCTGAGTTTTTGATTTCACCATTTTGATTCTTTTGATTTTTCAGAAAGCTGTTCATTGTAATTCGTTTTGCTCTTGGTCGGCTAGAACGATAGTCCCTGTCGAAAATTGTCCCAAGAATGAAAAAAGTACCAGTATTCGCGCACATATCAAAGCATGTGAACGTCTTGCAGATGTGCAGAATTGTACAACACCATCCAAATTTAAGTACCATTGTTTGTCTACACAGACACCTGGTATATTAGTAGAAATATGCGCTGCTGAAATGGATATAAATGGTAAATATTGAATTAAAAGTTATAAAAAAGTTTGTGTTTTTTTAAATAATCGTTTTCAAATCAAAATTCTGTATTATCCATAAGAGAAACAAGAACAATGATAATCAATGAGAATGAAATATGAGTAAAATGTGCTTTAATTTTCTAACGTAAGAATATTCAGCATGCTTACAGATACATGTAAATGGAAATTCAAATTAAAAATAAAATTCAAAAGAATGAATATCTTTACAAACAGTAACTTTAAGCATTTTTAAAACGTCATCCCTAGTTATTCAAGGCACCAGGCCTGGGAGCCATAAAACTTAGACGAGCTCACTTTTGATCTACGTCTCACTTTTCCGCTATATATTCCTTTGGAAAAAGTGAGACTGAGATCAAAAGTGAGCTTGTCTAAGTTTTATGGCCCCCAGGCCTGATCCCACCTTTGATACTTATCGGAGATAAGTGTTTGCTCTGTTCCAAGTTTGTTTTGTTTCAATGGGCTCTATGATTTTAAAAGAACAATATATTTTTTCATAATGTACGGCGAAAATTAGAGCTTAAAGCTGACCAATACCCTGTTAAAAAATGTGTAACTGACAAACCTTCGTTTGCTTGATATGCACCATTGCTATTAATGCGCACAAAGTATTTTATAATGAGCAGCTGACCAATAGTTGAATGAATAGCAACGTTTACGCCAAATACATGTTCATATTTTACTTACAATGATTCAGGTCAATCTGTGATCCTGCCAATGGAGCGCAAAATAAAATAAAATGTTCTTATGCAAAAAAATAAGGTGTAAAGACAAGAAAGACAGTTCCACCGGCCCTCAAAAAGTACAACGTGTGATTACCAATAATTTTACATAAGAAAATTATTACTTTTATTTACAAAGTATGCTATTCTTTCATCTTAAATCCCGTAAACGTTCAGAAGAAAGCAATTTGCAGAACTGAAAGCAATTAAAACAAAAATATGTTTAATTTGGTCTAAAAGATAAATTTCTCGTTATTATGGAATTTATCTCTGATCGGTTGGCAAGGGATGCTCATTCCTCCATGGGCATCTGATCCCACAGCTGATGTTTTGGAGGCCCGTGTTTGTTCTGCTCCTATTTTGTATTGTTTTATGGATTTTTGATCTTGAATACTGCTTGTCATCTACATATGTTTCATCCACACTTTTCAATCTCTGAATTCCATTTTTCAAAGCTTTTAACGCTATGATATGAAAAAAAGTTTGAGAAAATTATACATTGAAGTTGTATACTTATTATCTTTACTGGGTATAAAGTTCCTTTTTCAGTATAGGGTATTGGGTAGACAATTACGCAGTAGTAAACAACAGGAATCTATGTTGTTTTCTACCATTGGGAAATACGCAAAATATTTTTTTATTAAATTAAATTAATTTATAAATATTTATGTATATGTTACTTTATCTCTTTCAAATTGTGTTTGGTGTAGTGTCCCGTTCGTCTGTATACATGTAAATCAAAGAGGAGATCACTTAACTGCATAAATTAATATGGATACCATAAAAACTCTGCAGCTATCAGTGATTACGGCTCTCCTGAGATTCTTTTACACCTAGCTGTGTCCCTAAGGTGTTAATAAGGCGTTTAAATATTTTAGCTCATCTGAGCTGCATGTAAAAACTAAAGTGAGCTTTTTCTGATTCCTTATTCTGCGCGGCGTTCTTTTGTCCGTCCGTCTATTTTCAACTTCTTCTCAAGATCTAGAGGAATTGGGCTGATTTTAACCAAACTTGGAACAAAGTATCCTTGGTTAAACGAAAGTTTAAATTGTAAAAAAATGCCCAAGTACCCTCACAAGGAGAAATATATAATTTAATTTCTATAAAATACTTCATTCTGATTGGATGAAAAATTCTTTTGATAACTGCATCAATAGAATCTAGAGTTCACTTGTACTAAGCAGCCGGAACTACTTTGGCAGTCTTTACATGTATATTCCCACTTGCAGATTATTTATTGAAGGAATAATTAAATATCTTTACTTTAATGCATATTTTCCTGATTTTCGAAACCTGTCCGTTACGTTCCTTACTTATTTTCTACTTTCGTTTCTTTTTGAATTATCCCCCTTTGCTAAACAAATCAAAGCGTCTGCATCACAACATTATAGCCTGCAGTTTTGGGAAATATGGGGAGAAATCGGCATACTTTTGTTAATCTTTGACTTTGAGAAATCTTGTATGAACAATGGAACTCTGGTGAAATGTGTCTTATGCTACAAAAGCGGGGGAAACCGTTTATCTGTTAAATCTTGAGTAGAGAATGATCGAGAAAAACGACACAAAATGAATGAAGACGGAACTCTATTAATCTTAAACAGTCGACAGCAGACTCCTTCGGGTTTTACAGTGTTGACAGGTTGTGATACGTATTTTATGTTCGGTTGTTCAGATGAAAAGATGCGCAAATGAAATCCAAAATTTCTGTCACCTAGAACTGTGAAATGTAAATTATTTCAGAAAATTATGGTAACGACACGACACTAATAGATAATCTTTATTGTATGGGTCAATCAATACAGCAGAAAGAAACAAAACAAAAGAGAACAATGAATTATATATACAATATCCATATAGAAATTTATCTCCCAAATGTTACACCGATGTGGACTTTCCATTTCTCAACTCTAATGATTGTTTTATAAAAAAGCAAACAGCCGGTTTAACTTCAAGTGTTGGATTTAGTATATATTCCAGTTTCTGTGAAGGTGGTTTAAGGTAAAATGAGGAACAATATCTAACATAGCTTTTATAAGTTTATTCCTTGCTTGTATATTCAAGTTACACTGTAGAAAGAAATAAGATTCCTCATCAATAGTATTACATGATGAATATAATCTTTGTTCTCGGGGTATTTTTTTTTATGCCTACCAGTTTTTATCATTAGGCAGTGGTCACTTGTTCGAAATTTAGTTTGCATTTGTCTACTCTTAAAACTATTTTCAAGCATAAGATACTCTTCCATTTCGACATTATGTTTTATTTTACTGTACAAGTATAGTTTTGAGTTTTTTTTGTAAATTTAGATACCTTTTCCATAGTTTGATCTTTATAATTATCTAGTACAATTTTCTTCAATTTCTTTTTAACTGATTTTCCAATTTTGTCAAATTTTTTATCTTTCTTCTTGTAGTCATTACTATTTAAATTATAGAGAACGTTTCTTCGTTAGAGCCATTTTGAATTTTAGCAACATACGTTGTTGTGATGCACTCGTGTGCACGATTTTTGAATGCGTACATTTCATAGAAATTCATTTCATAGAAAAGTTAAAGAAAATTTCATTTTTAGAACTTAAAATTAAAATTAAATGATAAGAATGCGCATTGATGAAGTTATCCGTCCAAACTTTTTCTTCGATACTTCGACCAAAGAAAAAAAATATTATATTCATTTCTTAAATCAAGAAAAGTCAAAAATAGGATATCATTTAAAAATCTTCTTTTAGAGAACCACTAGGTCAGAAAAGCTGAAAATTATGTGGAAGCATCTAGGGGAACGGTATGATATAGATTCTAAATCGTAGAAATCATGACCACCTGTGTTAGGACAGTGCAGCGTTAGGGAATAGGGGTTTTACATTCAAATATATACAAACAAACTTTTAAGAATTGCCTTCTCAGAAACCAATGGGCCAAAGAATGTGAAACTTATATGAAAGCATCCAGGAGAAGTATAGATTCTTAATAATAGAAATCATTACCCCCTGGGGTAGGGCAGGGTAACAACAGGGAATCCAAGATTACATTAAATTATATACAAAAAACTTTAAATAACTTTGTATCTATAACCAATTGGCCAGAAAACTTGTAAAGTATACAAAGGTATCATGGCAATACAGATTCTAATTTTTTTTCTCAAAATCATGACAACAGGAGGTAGGACAGGTCCTCATTAGGGAATCCAAAATTTACATTGAAATATATAGGAAATACGAGGGTCGTTAGAAAAGTTCGCGGACACATTGAATTACGGAAAATCTATTGAGTACTGTGAAGTATGACCTATATCTGAATAAATTCCTACATTTTGTTTATTTGTATGTCAAAAATCAGGTCCATATAATAAAATCTTGAAAATTTACAACGATTTTTACTATGAGGTTATGGGATTCATGGAGCAATCACTTGACGTAAGGCGACGTTACAACCAGATTTCAACCCGTTAACCTTTGTCGCAGTTCTATAAATCTTAAGATTTTTCTGATCTTTTTTCTACTTTAAAATTGAATATCTATATCAAGAAATGCTACTTTTCTTCGACAATGTCTTTTGTACTGATTCGGATATTATTGAGATCTTAAAAAAAGTTTATGCAGTTAATCAGTTAATCGATCAGGTATGGAAACTATGCATTACCATATAGGCGCAACGCAACGTCCATGCGATACGGGGGTACTGAAGTATCGCTGGAGATAATCTTTCAAAATGTCAATCCTTCCATTCTTATGAAGCTACAACCATTTGAAAACTTCTCCTTTGTAGGTGTAGGAAATTCCCGGCAGCATGTTGAACATTTTAATCTCTTTTTAGACATTTTCCAGTCTGCATACATAATTTTTACGTAGTGCAGTGCTCCATGACGCTCAATGACGTTCCGATTTTTGACTGTGTTTTTACGCAATGATCGTATACAAACGGCTATAAAATAGTCATATACCCTCCAATTTAGTTAAAAATTTCTCCCAGTGATGTTTCACGAATACTTTAGCGGCAGGTAAAATATCATAAATCTCTTTGCGCTACAATTGTGCAATTTTTAATTTTAATAAAGAGTCTTTGTGATGTAAACGTGCCAAAATGTAGCATGCTCCGTGAAGCAAGTTTTATCAAAATAAAAAAGCTGTATATTTTTTAATAATCACCGGAGAGAAAAAATTTCTTGTATATTTATTGGAAAAAAGGTAAAGATTCTATCTGGAAAGTTTGACCGGTTTCGTGGAAATAGCGCGCTCACAATTGAACTTGTCCGCGAAC